CAAAGAAGAGTTAATTAAAGGATAGCACTAAGTGAAATATGAAAAAATTGGGGATAAATTCAAAGTCAATTATCTCAAAGCCAACAATATCAGTTATATTATCAAATAACTAGAAAAAAAATCAGAATTATCATCAATAAAGCTTTTTTTGCAACCTACTTCAGGTCCTTTAACTTCACAAAACTCAGATATTGGCAAGTGGCTTAACTACTTAATATAACTTTAATTTCTTTTTTAATCCTTCCCTTTCAAAAATAAATTATTAGAACCTTTACAACAAATATAAAAAACTTATCAAGATGAAACTATCTGATCTTCCAGCCTTACCTGATTTAATTTTGCTTCTATCAAAATTAAGCTTTCTGAAGTCATTCCCATCACATTACTCAAATATACAAGAGAGATCACACAGTGCCTTAGAGCATACTATAATTTTAACTTGCTTTTCCCTTTATATTTTATTAAAAGATCCAATCTTCCAGAGAATCTATTCCATCTAAAGGTTGAAATACAAGGTATTTTCTCTTTGAAAAAGAGAGCAGATCTTATAGATCTCTGAACACTAGTCAACAAACTGAAAAAGCACTATTACGTGCCAAATAAGCTTTCTAAATTATATTTCAGCCTTTCATCTCCAAAAGAACTTCTCACTTTATTCTATAAAAAACTTTTAAAATATCTGATTAGTTCCTTTCCAGTAAGCAATAATGTTGATGACATTAAAGAAACCACGTTAATTTTGAGAAATAAATTTTATATTTTAAAAAAACTACTGGCAGACTATATTATGATCAAAAGACCTCTCCCATTAGACACTAGTATTGTGAAAACAATGGAATTATTCTTCCTATTAACAATAAAGATAAGGTCAAAGATTTTATTAGACAATTAAAAACTGAATTCTTTTTTAAACTTCTTAATGGACTTAAGTAAACCAAGGAAGATTTAATCCAGAATGAAAAGCCTTACATCCCAAATAACTTTTTTTAAGTAGAAGAAAAGCTTGAAATAATCAGTAACAAGTTGAACAGTGAACATCCTGAATTTGCTGTAACTGCCAAAACAATTAAAGAGAAATATTTCAGTTATATTCTAAAGAATAAATAACACTGATTCTATCAGACCTTCTTAATCTCAAGAAAGCTCAAACCATTCTTTAAATCTGAAAGCAGTATAATAACCCTTCTGATAATTGAAGATGAGTCATTCATAAACAAACTCAATGTCCTTAGAAAAATATTTCACTTTGAGAAATTATCACCAGAATTTTTAATTGAACTTGAATCACCTGATCCAGTTCTGACTCTCTTATCAAAACTTATATAAATAATCTATACAACAATTAATTCAAGTTATTTGTTGTTATATATCAATATTAATTTATTTTCAACAAACTCTATTACAATACCTCTTAAAGATCTTATTACATTATTTACCCTTAATATTAGAGGTCTTAATAGCAGTGCAAGAGTATCAGAACTTACTAAGTCTATTACAAGTAATAGTTTCTTTGTTACTTAAAGACAAAATCACAAAATTAAACCCATTTTTTACATCTTTAAACAATATAACAATTATTACTAGCTTACTCAATGATTCTGCCAACAATATAGTGGCTATTCTTTTAATTAAAGCTATTACTAATTATATCTTTAAAACCTTCACCCATAATGAGTTTTGATATATAATTTATCTCAAATTCAAATAGAGAGTAGACATTATAATTATCTCATGCTATCTTACTTACAAACATGACTTCAGGAAAATAGAAATTAAAACTCTTAAGGATTTTATCAAAGAGCACTCTAGTAAATACATTATTCTTATAGAAGACTTTAACATATAACTCACCTCTGCTTCTACATAAATACTTATATAATAGCTCACAAGAAACATATATATCAATATATCCAAAAATTTATTAATATTGATAAAATAACAAACAATAAATATAAATAAATATACTGTACCTCACAAATAACAGTACTTCTAAAATTGATCAAGTATGAATCACCAGTAATCTGGCAATATAAAGTTTAAGAACAAATGGCCATAGTCTCTGATTACAAACAAGTGATTACTATATTGAATTGGTTTGAATATAAAACTAACAGAATCTGCTTTAACACCAACATCTATCAATTTAAGGATACTATTTCAGAAAACCTAAAAGGATTCAAAGAAGATATTGAACTTGCATACCTAACAAGCAACACTTCAACCTGGGACTTTATAAATAATGTTATCAAAAACTCTCTTGATAATAACATTCCAAAAAAAAGTGTATAACACTTATCTATAATATAGACCCTCTCAAGTATTATACTAGTATTATAAGAATCATCAAGAGAACAATTAATATATTAAAAAACAATAATAGGGAAAATGTTTTCTTAAGACTTTCAACTATTACCTCTTTAACTTTACAAAAAATTATTAGCAATTGTTCTTGTACCAAAGATCTGCAAAAACTGCTAAAAACTTTAATCAAGGAAAAATTATTTAAATTAAATAATATTATTAATTAAAAAGTATAAAAAGGAATAGAATCAAATTATAATAGATTTTGGACTAAATTAAAAAACACTTTTAAAAAAACATTAGGAAATCTGAGATCCTTCTTCAACCTTTCAATCCTTCTCAGAAAAAATAATTAACTTCACAATAATTCTAACAAGTTTGTAACTATTATATTTAATCACTTCAAAAAAAAATTCTAAACCGAATTATTTGTTATTAATAATAAATAATTAGCAGATTATAAACCACTGAACCATATTCCCAACAATTCTTATGATAATCATATTTCAACATTATCTATACAGGATATAAAAGAAGCTTTTACTAACCCTTTCAAATATAAAGCCCTTAGACTCACTCTTATTTTTTATAAAATTTGGATCCAAATTGTTCAAAATATAAAAAAAAAACATTTTAGCTCTATTCAATAATATTCTAATATCAGATCAAATTTTTAAATTCTGAATACAATCAGTTATTACAGTATTATCAAAAAAACTTGTCTGGTCACACAATCTTACTAACATATACCTAATCTTACTTATTGAAACAAGCAGGAAAATCTTCACAAAAATCATTAACAATAGATTTGTTGATTGTATTCTAAGGCATAAAACTCTCTCAGAATCCAACTTTACCAGTCTCAAAAATAAAACATCACTAAAGCAATCACAATTATTATCTCATGCATCAATATTACAAATAATCTTAACAAGAAAATTTGAATAGCATTGTTTAATATCTCTAAAGCTTTTGATTTTATCAATCTCACCAGCCTCAAGAAAGCAATACTATCAAACAAATCCATCTCATTTATTACCAATCTTCTGTATGAA